GGTAATATAAATTACATATATCGTAGTATATACAAATTGGACCTACAGAATAATTTGCCAATTCACTGACATATATATTTAATTTTTATTCCGAAAACAAAACCACCAACTCTATGAAAGCAATAGTTATGCTGTGGAACCGTGTTCACCATGCGGATAGATCCATAATTTATAAGCTGTAGATTTATAATTTTTATGCTGTAGATTCATAATATCTATACTGTAGATTCATAATTTCTGTACTGTAGATTCATAATATCTGTACTGCGAAAGACGAAATAATGCGATAGCGAAAAGAGAAACGTCGTTAACAACAAATGAAAAACAAAATTATGAATCTACAGCATAGAAATTATGGATCTACTCCTGTGTATGGTGAACACGTTTCCCCAGTATAATTTGCGCTATGAAAGGGACCAAGCCATGAGGCCAACACCCAAAATGGGTAAATGGATTTAGAAGGATAAAAAAAACACACACACAACAGAAAGAGGAAAGTGGAACAAAAGTCAAGATTAAGGATTGAAAGCAGATATGATCTTTGGTGGGTCATAATGGCATGCTTGAAATTTATGAAATGTAATGTAAGTCCAAATTGCCAATGACTTTTGGTAGCATTCATTCAGTACCAAGAATGTCTATTCATAAAGTATCATAGATATCACAGTTTTATATATTGTCAAATAAGCAATACAAATACAAATTGGTATGATCATGATCCGATATGAATTAAAATATGTATACAAATTGAATTTTAATGGAAAATAATGGTCAAATACACCCTTCAACTTTATGTAATAAGTCAATTAAATCTTTGAACTTTTGAAACTTGCAATTAGATACATTAACATATTAATTTAGTGCATCAACGCCCTAAACAAAAAAAAAAAAATGACGTGTCAAGCCTGTGAAGAGTTAACCTGCTAAACAAGTTAATTTGGATTTAATTAAACAATTTTATCGGTTTAGGGAATTTGGAAGGAGTGTTTTTTTTTTTTTTTTTTTTTTTTTTTTTTTTTTTTTTTTTTAAGAGACCTAATTGCACTATATGGTTGACTTAGGAGGTCAATTTGACACATTTTTTCAATTTTCTTTAAATGATGATGATGATTTGGGGCAAACTCAACCAAGTTGATTAGGCAATTACCTTAGTAACAATAAAGTTTTAAGTTTGACTCTTTGTAAGAGTTGCCTATTGACATTCTTGGTTTGAACTTATTAGCTATAGACTATAGACAACCTATTTTGAGCTAGTCAACTATGGAAAATCTATTTTGAGCTAGTCGGGTATGGGCAGGGTCTATTGTCCTTCTCAGTTTGAGCTAGTTAGATATATGCAACCTAAGTTAGTCTAACTTATTGTGGTCCTTTATTAGCTAGTGTCATAAAGTGAGTTTCACTCAAAATGCACCATAGTGTATTACTATAGTAGCTATGAACTTTTCCTTAAATCAAAGCACATAATTGGCAATAGTTATGCCGTGCAACCGAATGTACCATGCGCATGGTGCATACGATGCAAAACGACGCCATTTTGACTAAAAACGCGCGTCCCACTTTAAAAAAAAAAATTCAGGTTCGATTCTCGGCAATAGCATTATTGTGGATATATAGTTATGAATTTCTGGATATATAGTTATAAATTTGTGAATATATAGTTATGAATTTATGGATATTTAGTTCATTCATTGTAGATATTTACTTCATTCATTCACTGTGGATATATAGTTATGAATTTCTGGATATATAGTTATGAATTTTTGGATATTTAGTTCATTCATTGTGGATATTTAGTTCAATCATTGTGGATATTTAGTTCATTCATTGTGGATTTTTACTTCATTCATTCACTGTGGATATATAGTTATGAATTTGTGGATATATAGTTATGAATTTCTGGATATATAAAAATGCTATTGTCAGGAATCGAACCTGATTTCTTCTTTAAGTGGGATGCGCATTTTTTTTAACCAAAACGGCACCGTTTTGCAACCGTATACACCTTGCAAGGTGCATTCGGTTGCACAGCATAATTTGTGCATAATTGGCATAGCTTCACCTCAGTGGGCTTTATGCATTTATTTTTATTGGGCCTAATCAATTGTCTTTGTTATATTATAGACCGCGGTGCATAATCAATTATGCACCGCGGCCCATATACGGCGCCGTTTCTTTAAGTAAAGAAACGGCCCGCCGTTAGAGTTAACGGAGTCCGTTTGTTTGGTGTATTAAACACCAACTGACACTACAGTATATCCAAACCGACACTGCAGTTATATCAAAATGATACTGTAGTTATAGTGAAATGAAACTGCAGTGTATATAAACTGAAATTGAATAACATTTCACATATTTGAGTGTATATTGTACAATGAAGCTGTAATTATATCAAAATGATCATGTAGTTATGTTTTAATAAAACTATAGTGTATATAAAATAAAATTAAATAACATTTTCACATATTTGAGTCTATAAATATCGAATGAAACTATAGTTATATCGAAATGAAACTGTAGTTGTGTTCAACTGAAACTGCAGTGTATACAAAATGACACTAAATAATAGAGTTACTTTTTGCAAAAGGATGCGAAACGGTAAAAATAAACACTGTTAATTTTCATTTAAAAAAAAAAAAGACGCGCGGTGCATAATATAATTTGCCCCACCATCATCCTTCTACTTGAATTATATTTGATGGTCTAAATGTGGAACGTTATGCTCTGAGCACGATGTGGGCACGATTCCATATTCATAATTTTTATACTGTAGATTTATAATTTCTATATTGTAGGTCCATAATTTCTATACTTTAGATTCATAAAATTTATACTTTAGATTCATAATTTCTAAACCGTAGATTTATAATTTAAATACAGTAGATTCATAATTTCTATACTGCAGATTCATAATATATGTACTGTAAATTCATAACTAAACTGTATAATTATCAATTATGAACATATAGTTCTCTGATTTGTGAAAACAGAGTTCAATAATTGAAATCTAAAGTATAAATTTTATGAATCTAGAGTATAAGAATTATGGATTTACACTATAGAAATTATGGATATAAAATCGTGCTCACCTTGCAAAGTGCACACGTGCTCATAGCATAATTTGGCTCTAAATGTTGAATGGGCTTATATCTCAAAGGTACCTGACTTTTAATTGGGTTAAACTCTTTCCTTGAACAACAAATTCTAACATCTTGGAGCTTATAGGGTGAATAATTCACAATAAAAGATGGACCCTGGTACATGATATAACAATTGATAAAAAAAAATCTTTTTATTTTTAGCTTTATGTTTTAAAACTTTATCTATCATGGGCAATTGGGCATACAATATGTTAGAACAAAGGCTTTAAAATATTGAATTGAAAAGTGATTTTATATTGACCATTGATAAGGTAGGACAAGGAAAATACATGAATCCTTCTTCTTCTTCTTCTTCTTCCTCTCTCTCTCTCTCTCAAAAAAAAAAAAAAAAAAAATCTTTTAAAAGTCATAAGAGGCTCGTCCCGACACTCTGTAACTCTGATAGTTCAATTGGTATTTATGTAATAGAAGTAAATACATATAAACGTGAAATATATACCAAAGTACTTAATCTTTTATTGTCACAATTCACATAGCATTGTATATACCATAACAGAAATATCAAACAGATTTTTGGACTTTTAGAAGCGTAGAAAAATATAATGTCAAACAACAACATACACACTACATGCAAAACTTGTTGGGAAAACAATCCTAAGCTTAGAAGAAATTAGATACAAGGAAACAAAATAATCAAGAAATTCATAGCATGTATTAAACATATTTTCCTACAAAATTTTAATCACCCTTTATATGTATCTCCGCTCTTAGATAAAATTTATAAAAAATTAATAAATTATTTAAGTTGTAACGAGATAATTTAACGGAAAATATCCGAAGGATTTTCTGGAACTTATACTACATATACAAGCTTGAAAATAGGTGTTGATAATAAAACCACCATCAAATTAAACATGGAGTGATGGAGATCATAGGTGGTTACAGAAAATTTTTAAAATTTATTTCAATTTAAATTTAATATCATTGGAACATTATTATCAGTTGGGGTTTTTTTTTCAAGTATTTTGTGGTCCATCATCCACCTAATCATCTATTATCTCACTTAATCACAAAAATCCTTCTCCATACTGGTTTGAAGTTTTTTCTCAGTTTGTTGTGGACCCACCATTTTATATTCTATATTTTAATTAATAATAAAGAAAACAGAAAGAAACGAAAGTGTGAAAAACAAAGCATAAAAAAAAAGTACTGACATTATTTTGTTTCTTGAAGGTTGAATATTTTCTAAATATTTCAGTCCCACATCAATGCATACTCCCCCTCCTCTGACATTAACTCACAAATATGCTCACATATAGATGCTCTTAGCAGATCTTACCAAAATATCTTTATCTTCATCCCCAAAAGTGTTTCAAAAAGGATTTGCTAGTCTAGAATATCTAAGATATTGCAAGATATATAATTAGAAGAACTTTGTGATTTCTCATTCCTAAAACGCTTTCAGATTATCCGAGACCAAAGTCTAGAGTTTGGAAAAGTTGTTCGAATTCTCAAAACTCAAAGTCTACTGATTACTAGAACATCATATATATTATATTCAAATAGCCAAATAACTAACATTATATTATATATATTCTTGATCACAAGTAATACAATTTCTACCAACTTAAAATAATATTTTACGTATTTCAAAATAATTAGAGTGAAATTCATTTTTGATCCTACTGTTATAAGGGTCATTCTAATTTTAATCTACCATAATTATTTTTGCCACATTGCGTCCACTATTATTAAAAGACTAAAAGCGTTGCAATTTTAGTTCACGAAAATTTTTAAAATGAACTAAAATTAAAACACTTTTAATAATAGTAAACGTAATGTGACAAAACTAATTATAGTGAACTAAAATTAGAAAAGCCCTTACAACAATAAGACCAAAAATGAAATTTTACTCAAACAATTATATTAAACCCCCCACAAAGCATAATTCCAAAAGATTTTACAAGGTTACACTGTACTCACACATACAAGCTTCAATTCAATTCATACAACACTGATGATTGATTATTTGTTGAATGCATTAATAATCTCCGGCGGCCCTGCAGGAAGCTTAGGCCGATCCCGAGGACTGGCAATGCCGGCGAACACACTCAACATTTCTTTGTACGTCACTGTACCGACCACGCTCTGGTCTTCCTCAACCACCCAGATGTTGTTGGCGCGGTGAGCCAGCGCTTGGATCATCACCGCCGCCAGTGAACTCCGTGGATAACACGTCATCGCCTCCGTTTTCCGAGAGAAGTAGCGTCCTAAGATGCTGTTCCTGCTCAGCCCTAATTCTTCGTCGGAAGAGAAACTCGAAGCGTTTGAGGACGCCGAGGACGACAGTGATGGCGATGAAGATGATGATGATGAGGAGGAGGAGAATAATGCGGAATATTCTTCCTCCATTAGTCTCAACAGCGCCACCAGATTCTTCTCTTCGAGCCTTGCTTTTACCTGCTGTTCACAAATGGAAAACAATAGTCAATGGAGTTTATATCCATAGGTATTTGATATTATTACATGCTTATTTTGGCCCTTGGCTTCTTATTTATTAATTTTAGCTTGTTTAATCACTAGTAATTATTTAATTTAGTGAAATAATCAATATGAGTGTTACATTTTGTAACAATTTACTGAACCAAAACGTTATTTTTTTTTTTTGAAAGAAAGAAATAAATTTCTTTAAATAGCAATCAAATGAGAAATACAAAAAGGTAGCACAGTAAGTCACGACCCCAAGACAGATGAGAAACCAGTTACCCGTGCTAACACATGAGCGACATGGTTCACTGACCTTTTGACATGGTGAACAAACACATTCCCATTGTCAAATGCAATAATACGACATTGCTTAATAATCAAACCAAATAAGAAAACATTCAAATTCAAATTAAAAACAACTTTTTCGATTAGCTTTTTGAAAGTCATTTGTATGTAATCAGCTATACAATATACTAATGTTATCAATTAATCAAACCCATTAACTTAATCAGTTCACAATTATTTACTAAACACCCACTTTATCTTGCAATACATTAAAAATAATGAACTTAAAATAGAGTTAAAATGTAATACTCCGAGTACCTTTTTATACTGATATATAAAAAAGTATTTTACCCTATGTGCCACGTTAACGAGCAAAACATACTCAAACATAATTACTCTGTATGTATTATGTAATTAGTCAAATGAGACAGAACACATCTTTTAATCTAATATAAAAACTTAAAAATATTACTCCATACTATATAGCTAATAAAAAAATTAATTGGTACACACACCTGAAGAGAAGAGACTTGAGACGAGACATTGGTACGTTTTTAATAAGAATAAATTTTGCTAACATTACCATCTCAAGCAAGTCATCGGTGGGGGAACCGCAGTCGATGAACGCCATGAGATCGCCGGCGGAGAGAGACGCGATGGCCGCGGCAACGCTTTCCTCGCAGTAGGCGAGGGTGGAGGGGGAGATTTCGCCGATCAGTCGGTTATCGTCGTCAATAACAGCGACGGAAGTTTGATCGGCGTTGGCGCGGGAGATGAAACCTAACGCGGAGGTAGCAAGGTCGTGGTAGCCGACTGTCATGATGTCGTAATCGATTATGTTGAGCGATTCAATGGTGAAGGTCGGCAATGGCGAGAAGAGGCCGATGGAATTCAGGAGGAACCGGGCGACGTCTTCCTGTGTCAGCCAGCAATATTCAACGCCGCCGTGATCGGTGGAGCTCGGCGATGCAGGTTTCGTCCTTGAATTGTTACTGGTATTATTGTTCTGTATTGGGATTACCAGATTCTGCGTTCCTTCAAGAATGCAATCTATAGCCTCCAACAAGCTAAATTTTCAAAAGTTTTGAGACAGAAAATGAACAGAACATTCAAAAAATTTCAATCGTAACAGAAAAGATCTTCAATCGAATCAACAAATTAAACAAACACAAAATCCAGAAATGAATTAGGAGAAAAAGACACATTACAAACCTTGAATTAGGGTTCAAATGCCTGACAATATCGGTTCTGGAGGGCAAAATTTGGGAGACGGGAGATTGCAGAGCCTTGGAAAGGTTTCTCGAATTCTCCTCTTTACACAGAAAGACAATCACATCGACCATAGAGATTTTCCCGATGCAACGCCAATTATTGTGGCCTTCTTCCAGAGCCTTGGTAGAATGATCGGAACAGCCGCTCCAAACGCTCACATGGCTTTCGCCGGACCTCTTCAACTCCGCCACCGCCTCCGCCACGCTGGTGTCCGCCTTCACCGGCCTCAACGCCGGCTTCCCCAAGCACAGGTCTGACACATCCCGACTCAGAAAGCTAACTGCCATGCAAGAAATCAGCACGCCGGAGAAAAGAAGAAGAAGAAGAAGAATAGAGATTGGTATCTACGAGAAAGAGAGAGAGAGAGAGAGAGAGAACGGGAGAATTCTGACGGGTTGGAAACGGTGACCGGGTGGAAATGAGATGGGCAAAAATCGCGGGAATTTTATAGGCGGTGAAATTGGGGCTGGGGTCCACAGGAATCGGGGGTTATTTTTGTGGCAGGGATTTTTTTGGTCTAGATAGTCGTTGCTACGGCGTGAAAGCGGTGCCGTTAAAGGAAAAGGACAGGTGTCCATTTCTGCAACCGTACGGAGATCAAGGTTGGAATGTCGGGACCTCAATGGAAATATCTATTTTAAGTAGGAGAATCTCTGTTTCGATATTTTTGAGGCTCACTATAAATTCTTGTCTTTTTTTTTTTTTTTTTTTTTTTTTTTTTTTTTTTTTTTTTTGAAAACGTCCTAAAATTATGTAATTGTATGGAGTATATATATTTTTTGAATCTATTTAGCTTATGGTAAATTGGTAATGATATTATTTTTGTTGGTTGGAGTGTGTGTAATGGTATTTTCTTTTATAATTTTATCGCTTAATTTTTACTTTTTACCTTAACTTGGTTGGTGTGAGTGGTTGTGTACTCGCATCTTTTAAAAGAAATTGAGAGTTCGAACTCCTTCTCATATGAAAAAATCAATATGGCCAGCATTTTGTCTCTTAATTGGGCCGGACAGTGAGTATGGTACGAACTTAAAGATGTTTCCTACAGTTACAATTAAGGCCTTACTAATTTGGTTGGCGTGAGTGACTATGCACTCACATCCCTTAAAAGAGATCGAGAGTTCGAACTTCCTCTCGTATGAAAAAACCAATCTGGCTAGCACTTTGCCCCTTAATTGGGCCGGACAGTGAATATAGTACGGACTTAAAGGTGCTTCCTAAAGTTACAGTTAGGGCCTTACTTTTTACCTTAACTTGGTTGGCGTGAGTGGTTGTGTACTCTAGTCCCTTAAAAGAGATCGGGAGTTCGAATTCCCTCTCATATAAAAAAAAAAATCAATTTGGCCTGCACTTAACTCCTTAATTGGACTGGACACACCTAAAAACAAAATCCAAGAGAAGACAAAAGAGTTTCAAATTTGAATATTGAGACATCCTTTATCAAAGTAACAAAGAAGAAACGAAAAAAGGATGACTAGCATGAGAACACAATCTAGATAGATTGATTTATACTGTTTTTATTTTTGCATGAGTGATAAAAAAAAATCAATTTTACTTTATTTTCATATAATAAGATTGCTTCGTTTTCCTTGTACTTATACTCTTCACCTGCTTATTCATGTCATAAAAGAAATGAATTTTCAAATTACACGACAAAGTGAGACAATATACAAGTTTAAATTCCAAACTTGAACTCCTCACAACTCATACTTTGAAAATTAGTGGAAGAGATAAATTGTGAAATGTGCCTCAATTAGCTTATACGCTCCCAAAATGCTTGTACACTATTACTTGGTCAAATCAAAGTGAGAATATATGCAACTATGCAAGGAACACTTTTATCCCTCTAATTAAAGACATCAACCAATCCAATTTGACTAATGAAAGGTATGCCAAAACTGAAGATTAAGAATATATTGATTACTTATCCAAACATCTAAATACTGTAGTATACAGTTGCAACTCAATCCCAGAAGATTGAACTCAGCATCTTGATATGAAAATCTCCTGCTTATATTTTCCCAACCTATTCATGGGGAGTGAATTGGGCTTATCTGGTCGTGTATTCTTGGACTATGAAAAGGCTTCTTCAAACAAAGCAGGAAATAAGATTCTGTAGGACATCGCAGCCAAAAATTGCTTAGTACTACTCTGGATCGACAAATATCTGCAGAATACCACCCAACAAAGTGCCATAAGAACCAAGATTTATGCAGCACACCATCCAAAATATGCAATTTTCAATGCTTTGATGACCAACACGAAACATTTTTACCACTATTTTTTTCTGGTACGTGCATTTTTACTGCTATAGATATGTAAAATCTTTCAATCTTTTCCTTTGTCAATTAATCTTCCAGGACACAATGTGTGTGCTGGTGGTTGGAAGGACATGGGAGATAAACAACCAGATATAATAAGTAATTATGAAGTCACAAATGCCAGCATAGATATGGCAAACAGTATAGTGCCACAAATATAGCTGGATCAGCTTCAGTTTTTTAGGATTTTTTTATTTATTTATTTTTTTTAATTGGAGATTGAACAGTAATCAATCAAGAACATAAAAGATACACAGTTAAATGGTATCATTTGATTAAAGCAATTCTATTATTGTTTGTCATTTATATATTACTTACCTCCAATTCTAATAAAGAATCATAAGTTTTCTTCTCATGCATGTCAAATATTGTAATGCCTGCAATTTTCTGTATGCCTTGTTTTACAGCAACCAAGTTCTGCACGCAGAAGGACCATTGATCAAATCAAGAAATATTGCAATATAGTAAATACTGACCCTATTTTAGATTAAGCTCTGTGATTCCAGGATTCAATCAATAATAAACTAATCTGCTCTACAATTTCCATTCTTTAACACGACACAACCCATGTATACTTCTTCAATGTCATAAAACACCTCCCAAAAAGAATGTGACAACTATCATTATTTTGAAAGGAAGGTGGAAAGAATTGTAACTTCAACTAACTCTATCTAAATTTTAAATTTAAGAAAAATTAAAAGATCAGCAACATAACCAAATTACTTTGCCCATTTCATGTCAAAATGATTCTTGAACCTAGAGATATACTAATATTAGCAACTGTTACCCAATTTACTTGTTAAGGGTTGAAGATTAGAGTCAAATCCTAAAATGACTTCGTGTAGGAAAACTAAATAGAAAGGTGATCCTCACCAGACGAAATTCTGAAGAGCCAAATGCTTCAAGCTGTGGCAAAGGCTGTTCAAGGATGACAGGTTAGGGCTTTAGAAAGATATATCCATAGAACTGACTAAAAGAAAAACATGTGTAATTTCATCTATTTTCCATGAAACTCAAATGTCATCATCAAAGAAAACATAACTCAATTAAAGACAAATTCTTGGTGATGAACAAAAATACACTGAGAGCTTCAATAAGAATCAATTACATATCATTTGATTGGTTGGCAGAGACAAAGCCAATCATGATTATCCAAAGTGATTTAAACTCTCACCATTGTTTGAGGACCATTAACCATCACATATTTCTCATCTAGTGATTCGCTTTGTGACAACCAAACTTCAAAAGGACCCAATATCCTGTCAGTCTGGTTTGTGAGCTTGAAGCGTACCTACAAAATTACCCAGAAAGACATCAGGTTTCATTTGGATGAATCACTAAAGTGTTTGGTGTAGCTGGGCGAATTGAAGAAATCAACTTTGCCTTTTAGTTAAATTGGAGGAACAATATGGCCCACACCCATATTTGACTGCATAATAATGACTCTTACCAAAAAAGGCTTCTCAATGATGATTATAGGCGGTACCTCCACTGCCCCCAACTCTATGTCATTGTGAACAATGGGCTGTGCAAGGGTGAGATGTCATAAGGAAAAAGGAACTAAAAGTCTAAAACAAAACAAAAGGCACAGTGTGGATATAATAAAATCTTTTTGCTTTTTTAGTCCTGCAAGTAATGCAGCATCTGTATATTCATTAGCCATATGTATAATATTCAGCTCTTATTCACAATCAATCGGTTTTTCATATCATAAGCAATATAGCATTCTTCATTTGCATTTTCCATATATATGAAAGACTCAGTTCTTATTTGAAGAACAGCCTATGCCAATTCATCAACACAAGATAATATTGAATAATAACACAGTAGTAATACAAATGGACCTTCTAGGATATCAAGAACATCATAGAAATGAAAGGCCAAATTTTCACTTACACTACCAAGAATTTGTTGCGTCTGAAGACGCCCCGGTTCACCCAAATTTGTCCGCCATGTTATCTGAAGTTTGCCTAGGACATTACTACCCTCAACTTTCAGCAGTGTAGATCCTTCTGATGATACACTCAATTGGTAGAGAAAATTATGAACACCTCCCCCGGATCTTATGATAACTGGAGGCTTAAATAACTCTCTGACAGATTAAATACGTTATTCAATATAGCAGGGGTGAACCTTGACAACAATTGAGAAAGTGGAAACATTTGCAACTCAAGTAACAATGAGTAGAACTATAAATAAGAAAACATTAATCCACCTTACTAATGGACTGTCCTTCAAATGATGATCATCAGGTTTTAGTACTGTAGCACTCCAATTTTGTGCTGGCTCAAAGTCAACTTGGTCCATATAGAGATTAGATTTTGTATTGTTCTCTATACAAGCCTCTAAAAACGTAGTTTCCTGGGAAATAAGAATTGGATGCCATGAATAGTTGAGAAACTACTTGTTTCATTACCAGAGTAAAGGACCAGCCAATTACAAATTCTGTTAATATTATAAACCATATCTACTCTCTCCTACCCTACAAGAACTTTCCACAAAACTGGATAGAATGAGTGGCACTTCCTGTATAAGTTCATGAATAAACAGAATGCAGTTCTGGAAGGATGATGACCTTAGAGTTGGTGAGCTTAAAAGAAACCTACCTTAACAATGCGAACCTACAGAACAGAAAAAAGTATATGTTACATATGAACACGGATAGCAAAAGATCATAAAGAAATATGCTCACAAAGTAAGTAAAAATAGCAATTGGAAACCACTCCTTGCAGTATATGCATGTTTCGTTGAAACATGCATTAGAAGCATTCTAGAAGATACCTTTGTTCTAACAGATAGGGGATTTGCAACTATGAATTTGAAAAACTGTGGTAGATATTTACGTTCACCATCATTGTCATTGTAGAGCGCAGTGCATACCAATCTACAAAGCCAAGCAAACAACCTTTGAGCAAAATTATAATACCGCACAAGGCATTTATTAACAGAAAACAACAGTGATATCATGAACGTACGTATGTGCACCAAGTTCTTTCACATCATGTTCTACAATAAAATCATATCGCCCTCCCACTCGTATTGATTCAACAGGGGCTTTTGATGTATCTAAAAGAAGTATCCTCTGCCTTTCTGTTTGGATTTCTGCCTGTATAGAATTAAATGTTACTCCATAGATATAGGGTTCATTTTTATTTCACAACAAGCATTTAGCCAACCTACATAAAAGATGAAATAAACAAAATAAATTGTTTCACAATATAGCTTTATCAATTGTGATTGAAGATAAATGCCACTAGAATAAGATTTTCCTTTTCTTTCTTCAGACAATGCAAGGTTTTCCATATTGATTCCCCGCTACCTTGTTATTGATAAAAGTTGCTTACAGTATATAAACATCTCAATAACAGAAGCTCACATCAATTAGACAGTGTGGATGTCTAAAATATACTACTAAAAATGTATTCCAGACATGACCTTGTCACATAGCAAAATAAATTTTCAATCTGTATAGGGGTCTGGATTCTGGAAGTAGGGCTATGTCTACTCAAAAAATTCTCTTTACATGAGTCACATACACCGTGGAAACTACTTTTGAGTAAAGCATCTCAAAGCACACTATTTCCTGCCCACTCAAAATATCCCCAAAGTGCAAAGCACTATCAGTATGATAAGTTTGAATTGAAAGGTTCCTAAAGTGTCTGGGCAAATTACTCATTTCACAAGCCAGATAACTATTCTACCCCCATCCTAGAAGTAGGAATTAATGGTCACATAACTAGTCTACCCCCATCCTAGAAGTAGGAATAAACTACATTAATGTTGAAAATTCCATAGCATTCAAAACTATAGTTTAATACTAAGGTTTAGCTGATCCAAATGCATTCATAGAGTGCCTAATATGTGCAACAGTTCATTGCAAAGAACAAATCAACCAATCATTCGTCAATCCACCTTGATTACAATATCCCTGACTTCGAAACTCGAACTGTTGTTTATACTTATATAACTGCAGAACGTCTCCCCCAGATATATTGCCCTGCAAGGACATCTCAATTTCTCATTAATTAAAATACAAAAAACACTACTAAATCAGGATAGTGTCAGGCAATGTATATGGTATAGAGAGAGCGAGGATGGAAAACTAACCCGAAAGACTGAGGAAGGACGAGGAGGCCAGGTAGGCCGACGGATTCGGAGGACTGTTCGAGGAGGAATCTGGAGCGGTAGGAGAGATCGGAGGGGTCAACGACGTTGGGGCCGGCGTTGACAGAGTCGCCGGAGAGGAGACGGGGGAGGTGATCGGCGGCGAGGGAGTCGTCGAACAAGTCCTCGCCGAAAAGCAGATCGCAGGCGTTGAATCGAAGCGGGGTTTCGACGTGAAGTGATGGCCTGCAGAGCCTCATCACCCGGAAGGCAAGCGAGTGTGGAGTTTGTGTAGCGCTGCTGCTACTCATCTTCTCCAAACTCTCTCTCTGACTTCACACTCTCCCTTCACCTCAGCTCTGATTTGGAAGCTTTTTGCCTTCGAAATGGTCGAAATGGTAATCCAACTTGCAGACCAGTACGGTACAAGTGACAATACACTTTTAGTTCTTTTTTATGGAAACATCTATAATACACTTTTAGTCTTTTTTTTTTTTTTTTTTTATGACAATATCTATATTTAATTATAGTATTATTGTGGTATGATTATTTTTTGTCATCTATTAAAAAAAACTTTGCTTTCTTTTATCAAAAAAAAAGAGGAAAATTAAAAAAAATAACTTTGCTTTCTTTTACTGCTCACCTTTTTTTCTCTTTGGAGTTTGTGTTGCTTCGCATTACCTGATTGGTAATTTGATGTCAAATTTTTTATTTACAGTCATTGAATAGTTATGATGTACTTCCCCGGACACTGTAAATTGTACCAATTTTAATCCGCCTTAGAGTTTTTTAATAGTTATTGAAATAGTAAAAAATTAAATAGTTACTTTTTATCAAATGTGGAGATTAATTTTTAGTTAAATTTTGTTTATATAATAAATAATTTTTTAAGAATTCGCTAAAAGAGAGAAAAAGAAAAATAAAGACAAATAATTACACGTAAAGTCCAAGAATTGTGCCCAGTAGTCGACACGTGCCTACTGAGCACATATTTTTAAACTTTTTTTTAAAACAATTTTGTTGCCACTCTTTTTTTTTCCTTTTTTTTCTTGCACTCTTTCTTTCCTAATTGACACTTCAAAACCCCCCAAAAAAAAACTAGAGCTATTGAATTGAACAATGCCCAGGGCTGTAATTTGAAATTTTGAACTTTTTGTGGTTGATAATAGTAAATATGAATGTCATATTTAAAGTTGAGATTATTTAAAAGACAGAAATATGATCATTTTTATTGGTCAAATTAAATAATAACATGATAAGTTTCGTAAATTGTATGAAATTTCTACTTTTGATCTCATCTTCAAAAAGTTAAGAGATGAAATTCAACTATGCCCAAACAAAGAGTTCCTTTTTTAGGACAATGGAAACTTCCTAATTATAAATTATACAAAACTAAAAGAAGACATAGTATCAAACTGAAGGGGAAATCAATAACTTTTGCTTATGTTACATTTGAGTGACCAAATCGGGAATTAACTCATTAGATTATTAATGCAAGAAGTCTGATATGTTAGTTCACTTCTATATATATATATAAAGATACCATTTATTTGGGGAACAATTCCCCCCTATTTTACAGAGAATTATACAGCTTAAGGGTGCCTTTTTCATATGGCTAAAGGCAATCCTAACCATTAATCTAGGGTTATGCTTCTCTATTTTTGAATGTGAAGACAGATCTCTCTATATATTAGCTCAGAACATGCCACTAACCAGTCATCTTCAGTACTAACCCAAAAACCCTGCAGCAACTCAACTATAGTTACGAGTGTCATCCAAGTGCAGCAATATCAAAACACTCGCGAGATCATCAATCTTAAAATAGATTGTTTATATTACCTAAAACGAAGGGCATCTGAGATGGATGCTGAAGTTGAAGCGACTTTGCTCTATATAACTCGAACCCAGGTTCCACCGCACATTGGACAACCGTATGCCCACCGGCTGATCCACCATTCTTCCTTCTCGTTCTGATTTGTAGGGTTTACGCCTGGTGGAGCAAAAGCTGAAGTCTGCCGCAAACATCTCACGCACTGTATAAGAAACAGAAACACCTTTGTAAAAGGGAAGAGTTGGTTGAAAATTGTTAAGAGTCCCACATTGATAAAATAAGAGAGAACATATGGGTTTATAAGGCTATGTGTTAGACTAGCTAATAGGTTGGATTCAATTTTTTAGTGTGATTTGGCTCATGTGCACTATAGCCTAGTTGAGTGACCCTAGCCCAATCTGATTTTATAACAAAAATCAAGGTTTTTCACATTAAACTAGTTCGAGTGAAGGTCTCGTTACCGACCTTGTACCAAACTCCTTCGAGCCCTGACTTCCACATGGCAGTCACAACATCCCTTCGAGATCCCATTATACCAAGATATGCACCCAGGCCAACTGAACTGTTCAAGCCAAAAGCTGCATTTCGTTCAGACATTCTGCGCTTCCTTGGCCATGAGCTGCGAGCTACATAGCAAACATCGGAATGGTCTGACGAGCTACACTCGAGCAAATCTGTCGTATGGCTAAGCCTAGAATTATCATCAACTGGATCAATATCCTCTGGATCAGACCAATGTTCACCATACATATTCCTCCTGTGCCATTCTTCAGCTGGAGGATGCAGTTCTAACTCTCGAAGCAGCAAGCCAGCAGCATCTGCACCTCTAGGCCGGGGCATATTCTGCAAGAATTAAAAGCTTGTTTTAATTTTGTTTCTGAACAGAACAGTAATAAATGTTAGAAAGCTTTATGACCATCTTTATTGGTTCAGCAGAAAAAATAATTAGCCATGTATCTTGGCATACAATGGCTAAGATGTTTTTTCGCCCTCCACGACTACAATATTACAACTTTATTAAGATTCCATGAAATGAAGATCAGAAATATTAACTCCTGACTTTTGGCATACAACTTAAAATCAAGAACTGTCCATATTAGTAAGCACATACACGCTCAATTACCAGATCAGATTTGATTTTGGATAGATAGTTATGAAATATTATTAGCTATAGTATTAAACTATTCTTCAATGCTTACAATCTACACCTCAATTTCTAAATTAATGTGTGTTTTTAAATATAAGTATTCCCAAATACATGGTCAGCTAGAAATTTTGATATATATTTTTTGGTTAAGACTCCAAAAATGTTCCAGTAGAATTTCAGGTATGTACTACAATAAAAGCATTTAAATTAAGCAGGAATAAATTTTACATCCATTATAGAAGTACCTGCATATAAGGACCAAGGGAAGCTTCTACAACTTCAGGCAAAACAGTGTAGTTCCCATCAATGTAATGAAGACGGACTTGGATGCTGCTGCTCCCTACCTGGGAAACCGGCAATGGATGTGCCAGACCAGCTGTCCGACGACAAAGATCCATCAGAATAAGAAAGAGGACCTTCACCTGCATTTGAAATAAATAAGAAATTGAACGGCTCACTGAAAAATTTCTGGAAGGGAAAACAAGAGAGCATACAATCATACAATGAAAAAGGGTGAAGGTCTAACTAGAAGAGCCCGAGTCCAGAGGTTTATGTAGTTAAATCATACATAAGCCAGAGCACAAAGCTTATGCATCTTTTTTCCAGATTATATATATCTAACAAGTGTAAGTTCATCTTTTTAATGGCTCAACTTACCATAAAAGTTTCTTTTTAACCAGTCACCAATGTCTACTGGAGTTGGTTTTTGATCAGGCAATCTATATATATACTTGTACCAAAACAAAGTTTTAAAGGTCATTTACTTCAAGACTATTATTTAATATTCACCTCACAGTTATAGATAAACTAGGCCAAAAACTAAGCAAATCAATATGAATACACACACATATATCATATATGCATGTATTCAATGAAGAAATTTGAAGCAGCAACAACACTGAAAAAGTATAAATTGAATTTACCTCTTCATATGTATATCCTTGTCCAGCATTACCAGAACCTATTCTGGACCTGTTAGAAGGACCTTCTTCAGATCCCTTTCCTCCAGCACCAACTTGACCACCAGCTATTGGTTTCACAGCAGAGCTGGCCTCTTCTACTTTGTTGGGAGGATTGGGCCCATTATAACGTGCTAGTTGTGTTCGACGGAAGAAAAAGCAGAAGTGCAAAAGTTGGCATAAACGGTGAAGAAAATGGCAATCTCCAATAAGCCTTACAGCTGGAGTTCCTGGAAAAGTGCCTGTATTTATGCTTATAGGCATAAAAGTTGAAGGGCCATTTATGGGGTTTGGAGCAGAACTTGAAACACTATCAGCTGTGCTACTACTCTTTAGTAAAACTCCTGGTACCCATGCTTGCATCTGAGTACTTGCACTACCACCATGGACACCTGGAAAGGACAGGTGAGGATCAACATATTTGAATGATTCAATAGAATGCAAGGGAAGGAGGTTCACACAGACTCAGATTAGTTGAAAGAGAAGTGGCCCTTCATTTCTTGAGGATGCTATACTTATTATAAAAATTAAAAAAAAAAAAAAAAAAAAAAAAAAAAAACAAACAAACAAAACCTTAACTTATCAAGAATGATTGAGAAGTATTGAACAGAACATAGGAAGGGAGCTTGACACTGCTCCCAGCCCCAGGTTTGCTCTAGTATGAATACACTCATGTCTAGAGGATAGTACTTATGACAATATAAAATCAGAAGATGTTAACCAGAAAAGAGACTACTGACTCTGAGTTGTTGGAGGGGTAGTTGCAGATGGAGCAGAATTTTGGACAGGACTAGTCACCACATTCCGGTTCCCACCAGTGCCAGAAGTAACAGCATGTGTTGCTAACTGGCGGCAGAAACTTGCATAACGCCGCAAACGTGTGATAAAATGAGATGCCAGATCAAGTATTCCATCAACATAAGCCTGAATTACATTGCTTTGACAATAAGAGAGCTGATAATCACAAAATTTTAGAACAGTTTGAATAAAAAGGAAACAATGATTTATGCCGACAAATGAGCTTCAATATATATTATAAAATAAATAAAATTTAAAAAAAAAAAAAAAAAAAAAAAAAAAAAAAAAAAAAAAAAACTGAATCATTAGCACCTGGACATTTGGGACTAATGCAGGTTCAACAGCCATTGCCTCAGCATCAATACCAAAGAGCATGTCACTGGATGCTTGCCATGGTTCTGGAACCAAAGCTGAAGGATTTACTAAAGCCGATTCAATTCCTTTGCCAAGCATATCCAGCAGCAATCTTGCTTGCATGTCAAGAACCATTGCCCTGACTTCCTGAGCATGTGCTCCTTCTAGAAGCCTACATTTTATCCTGTCTAGACTCTTAATTGTTCAAAACAAAACTATAAGAACACAATGAAAATAGGATCTATGAAAACAACAAAGACCAAGAAAGAAAATTTCAGTGAATATGAAGAACTTTAGAGGGAAGAAATAAACATAGTAATTTAAGTGATTAAATCAAGTAAGCAA